GGCCCTGTTGGGTTGGGGTTGGGCTGGAAGGGCTAGGTGTGTGGGGATCACAGTGAAAATGGGTTTGAAAGCCTTGTGTGTTGGTATACTCCTATAATTCCAGCACTTGGGAGTCAGAGGCTGAAGGATCACTGCAAGTTCAATACCAGGGACAGTGAGACACTGTTCCTTCCAAACTACCCCTCCCTGCAAAATCCCAACAAAACAAGAGTGAATTGGAGATTCCTCATCCTGACAAGACTCTCAGCCACACCCAGTCTGCTGAATTCTCCCTCAGGTACAAAACCACCGGGGCATGCTTTGAAGACTGATGCCTTCAAAGAAACACTCTGTCCCACCCAAATGTTGCTCACTTCAGCCAGGAAAGTGCAGATGTTCTGGATGAATAGAACCAGAAGTGAGTGGGGACTGAGAGATGAGGATCTCAGAATGTTATGGTTGGGGAACGTCCTTCTCCTGTGACCCTATACTGTAGCAGGGCTGGAGGATCTTTCTTCTCACTGGAGAACCTCAATGGTCTGCTGTCCTGTGGTGGGCATGGCCTCCTCACCAAGGGATAGGGAGGCAGAGTAGGAGGCACTGGATTGAGTGTATATGTTGGGAGGGGTAGGTGTTTGAGGTCAGGAAGTCCAGAAAGCAACTCAGACAATGGCTTTTTCCGCTGGTGTGGGTCTAGGCTGCTGGATCCTGTCTGACCCCATAGCACCTCCTAATTTGCTTACTGCTTACTAGTCGGGGAGAGGCCCATTTCCAGGTAATTTAATCCAGCCTGGCATCCTCTTCCACGTGGAGGTTGTCATGGTCCCTATATGGTATGGCACTGGCACTTTGATATTATGGCAAACATGCCTTTATTTATGTTTAATCTATTTGTTCCTTAAATTGTTCTCTTGTGTTCTAGGAGACCAGAAGCTTTGGTACAGCCCCCAGTCTAGCAGAACAGTAACATGTGCCTCTTGATATGCAAGGTTAGATTAGATGGAGATCTTGGAATGTTGGAATATGTTTCTAGAAAAATGAGAGTGAGCTGAGCTTAATCCCAGCACTTGGGATGCTAAGGTAGGAGGATCATGAGTTTCAGGCCAGCCTTGGCTATATAGTGAGACCTTTCTCAACAACAAAGAGAAAGAACTAGCCGGGCAGTGGTGGCTCACGCCTTTAATCTCAGCACTTGGGAGGTAGAGGCAGGCAGATCTCTGTGAGTTTGAGGCCAGCCTGGTCTACAGAGTGAGATCCAGGACAGCTAGGGCTGTTACACAGAAAAACCCTGTTTAGAAAAACAGAGAGAGAGAGAGAGAGAGAGAGAGAGAGAGAGAGAGAGAGAGAGAGAGAGAGAGAGAATGAATAGAAGAAAGGAAGGAAAGAAGAGAAACAGACGGGAAGGTATGGCCACTGCTACCAGGGCTTTAACCCGGTAAATTGACATTGAGGCCCTCCATCTCTTCCCTTCCTCCTGCTCTTACCGGAGAGAATCAGACGGCTACTTTCCAGCTCACCATGTGGGTAGAGGACTCAGCATTGTCTCACTAATGTGCCCAATTTATTGTTAGCCTTGCTCCTGTGATTCCAGGGTCTGGAACGCACAGTCATCTTTATTGTTGTCCAGACGCTGAAGCCCTGCACAAGTTCTCTTAACTCTCAGCAGTCCCCTTCTTTTTATGTCTTGCCCTTGTTGTCTAGACTGCATAGTCTGGCACTTAGTTACCTAGGGTATTAACAGAGTTCCTATGAAATTTAGAAACTGAATTCATCTGAATGTACATTTGACAGAAGCAACTATAAATATGTTATGAAAATGATTACATAGAATTATTTTTAAAAAAAGATTTATTTTTATGTGCGTGTTTTGCCTGCCTGTATTCACATGCACTACATGTGTATGCCTGGTACCAGGACCAGAGAGGGCACTGGATCCCGTGGAACAGGAGCTACAGATGGTTCTGATTGTGAGCCACCACGTGAGAACAAACGTGGGTCTTCTGGAAGGGCAGCAAGTGTTTTTTTTTAAGATTTATTTATTTATTTTATGTATATGAGTGCTCTTTACGACAGAGGGGGGCGTCAGATCTCACTAGAGATAGTCCTGAGCCATCATGTGGTTGCTGGGAATTGAACTCAGGACCTCTGGAAAACAGCCAGTACTCTTAACCGCTGAGCCACCTCTCCAGCCCCCATTCCCACCCACTTTGCAGCAAGTGCTCTTAACCAATTTGCCATTGATCCACACCCCATAGTTTTGTTTTTTGTTTTGTTTTGTTTTTTGAGACAGGGTCTATGTAGCCCTGGCTGTTCTGGAATTCACCAAGATCTGTTTGCCTCTGTCTCCAAGTGCAGGGATTAAAGACATTCACCACCATGTCCAGCCATACACAGAATTCTTTCTTTTTTCTTTTTCTTTTTCTCTTTTTGACAGAGTTTATCTGTGTAGCTCTGGCTGTCCTTGAACTCACCAAGATCTGCTTTCCTCTGGTCGCCCCAAGTGCTGGGATTAAAGGCATGCGCCACCACTGCCTGGCTCATAGAATTCTTAATGTAGATTTTTGTGTTAAAGTGCTTTTGTTTTGCACAGAAAATATGTCTGTTATATTGGAAAGAAGACTTGAGTTTGAATGCTGACTCTACAGTTTAATAGATAGGCCACAGCTTGGTATGGTGATATACACCTGGAATCCTAGCACTTAAGAGGCTGGGACTGAGAGTTCCATACCAGCCTGAGCTATATACTCTTGTCTAAAAAAACAAAACAAAACACCAGTGTCAAGCTGGGTGTGCTGGTGCATGCCCTTAATCCTAGCACTCTAGAGATAGAAACAGGTGGATCTCTGAGTTCAAGGCCAGCCTGGTCTACAGAGTGAGTTCCAGGACAGCCAGGGCTACACAGAGTAACTCTGCCTGGAAAAACCAAAATAAATAAGTAAACAAAGTGTCATGTAATCTTCCGGGTTCTCAATATATTCATCTATAAAACAGAGAAATACTTTTTCCCAAGATTTGTTGGGAGAATTAAAGTAATATTCTGTCTGTGCAATCACAGTGCTGAGGAGACTGAAACCCATTCAAAGTCTGAGGTGCTCTTTCTGAATGGGACAAAGTGTGTTTCACAGGCTAGTTCTCGGCACAGTCATCACCGATCCTTACCCAGCACTCCACAGCACAACTCACAACACTTGTCTCTTCCATTAGACCAGGTTCTGAAAGGTAAAGATTGTTTTTACTTCCATTTTCCTGTGGCCTAGTACACTGCTTGATTAGTAAAATGTTATTTGAACACATTGCCTTAAAAAAAAATAACAAAAGGCCTGGGAATATAGCTCAATTGTTTAATGAGCATGTATGAAGTCCCAGGTTTGATCCCCAATTCCCCACTCATACAGGAATGTCATGGTGGCACATGCCTCTAATCCCAGCACTTGGGAGATCAAGGCAGGAGGATCAGGTCACTTTAGCTATATACTGAGTTCAGGGCCAGTTCGGGCTACATGAGACCTCTTTAAAAAAACAAAACCAAAAACGACTTGGGGTTGGAGATTTGGCTTAGTAGTTAATAACATTTGTTCTTGCAGAGGACCTGGGTTCAATTCCCAGCACTCACATGGAAGCTCACAACTATCTGCATCTCAAGTCCCAGGGGATCCAGTGCCCTCTTCAGACCTCTGGGGGCACCAGACGCATGTGTGGTGCATATATGTATGTACACACAGGCAAAACACTCATGCACATTAAATAATAACATAAGGAGCTGGAAAGATAGCTCAGCAGTTAAGAGCACTGACTGCTCTTCCAGAGGACCTGGGTTCAATTCTTGGCAACCATGTGGCGGCCCTCAATTGTCTGTAACTCCAGTTCCAGGGTACCCAACCCCCACATAGACACACATGAAGGCAAAACACACATGAATGCACATAAAATAAAAATGAATACATTATTAAAAATAACATGAGTGCATTTTTAAAATTAAAAAAACTAATGAAAACATGATGACATGCAATTTTGTGACAAATGCTATTTTAAAATATTTTTAGTCAGTCTGTAAAGCTTTTATTGTATATGTATTCATCTTCCATGGTATGTTACATAATGTGTGTTGAGCCCATTTCCTCCCATAATCCTACCCTCCCTTTTTTATTTTTGGATTTTTATTTAGCTGAGGATGATTTTGAACTCCTGATTCTCCTGCTTCCATCTTCCAAGTGTTGGGATTATAAGCATGCACCATCACATTCAGTCTTGTTCATGCATATGACAACCTTGGTTGATTTCTTCAGGTGCCATCCATACACCTTGCTCTTTTTTTTTTTTTTTTTTTAAAGACAGGGTCTCACTTTGTAGTTCTGGCTCACCTGGAACTTGCTATGCTTGGTCCCCATGTGTCACCAGGCCCAACCCTACCTTGGTTTTTCAAACAGGGTCTCTCATTGGCTTGGAGTGCTCTGATTAGGCTAGGGAACTCTGGGGATCTGCTCTCTATCTTCCAGAGCTGGGATTACAAGTGTGTGCCGCCATCACTGACTCCTTTGTGTGGAGTCTGGAGATCAAATACAGGTCCTCATGCGTACACAACTAGCCCTTTATCAATAAAGCCGTCTTGCCAACCATACTAGCTGGTTTTGTGTGCCAACTTGACACAAGCTATAGGAGCCTCAGTTGAGGAAATGCCTTGATGAGATCCAGCTGTAAGGCATTTTCTCAGTGATTTCTCAAAATGTGGGAGGGCTTACCCCATGGTGGGTGGTGCCATCCCTCGGCTGCTGGTCCTGGGTTCTATAAGAAGATGGGCTGAGCAAGCTAGGGGAAGCAGCTCCCCTCCATGGCTTCTGCATCAGTTCCTGCCTCAGGGATCCTCCTCTGTTTGAGTTCCTGTCCTAACTTCCTTCAGTGATGAACAGCAATGCTGAAGCATAAGCCAAATAAACCGTTTCCTCCCCAGCTTGCTTCTTGGTCATGGTGTTTTGTTGCAGCAATAGAAACCTTAGCTAAGACACCAACCCTTTTTTTTTTTTTTAAATATGGAACACTTCACAAATTTGCATGTCATCCTTTCACAGGGGCCATGTTAATCTTCTCTGCATTATTCCAATTTTAGTATATGTGCTGCTGAAGGGAGCAATCTTTTTGTTTTCTTTAAGATTTATATTATATGCTTGAGTATTTTGCCCACATATATGTATGTGTACCATGCACATGTATTATGTACCTGCAGAGGCTAGAAGAGGGTATTAGATTCCCTGGATCTGGAGTTACACTCAGTTGTGAGCCATCATGTGGGTTCTGGGAACTGATTTCAGACCCTCTGGAAGAACAGTAAGTGCTCTTAACCACTGAGCAATCTCTCTAGCCTCACTACCAGTTTTGAAATAGCCTTTAGCTCTGGCTGGGCTGGAACTCTCCATGTTGACTAGGCTGACCTTGAACCTGTAGTGATCCTTAGGTCTTGGCCTGTAGAATGCTGGGATTACAGGTTTGCACCACCACACATAGCTCCTAATGGACATCTTTGTTGTGGAATAATCCTTCTGTACACTGTAAAAATAAGTTGTTCTCATTGTTAACAAAAAGCTGATTGGCTGATAGCTAGGCAGGATTTTTGGGGCAAAGAGAATGCTGGGAGGAAGAAGGGTGGAGTCAAAGGAGTTGAGAGAGATGCAGAAAGAAGCAAGATGAACATACCGTGTTGAAAGAAGGTACTGCCATGTGGCAGAGGGTAGATAAGAAATTAGGTTAGCTGGATGTGGTGTCACACACCTTTACACTTGGAAGGCAGAGGCAGGCATATCTCTGTGAGTTCAAGACCAGCCTGGTCTACAGAGTGAGTACCAGGACAAGGCTCCAAAGCTATACAGAGAAACTCTGTCTTGAAAAAAACCAAAAACCAAAAACCAAAAACAGAAAAAAAAAAAAAAGAAATTGAGTTAATTTAAAATGTAAGAATTAGCTAGTAACCAGCCTAAGCTATTGGCTGATCATTTATAATTAATATTAAGCCTCTGTGTGGTTATTTGGGAGCAGCTGCCGAGACACAGAGAAACTCCATCTGTACATCTTTTTTTTTTTTTTTTTCTTTTTTTTATATAGGAGGATCAATGGTACAAGGCTATCCTTGACTGCAGAGCAAGCTTAGGGCCAGCCTGGGCTATATAAGGCTGTGTCCTGGAAGGAAAGAAAGAAAAGAAAGAAAAGAAAGAAAGAAAGAAAGAAAGAAAGGAAGGAAGGAAGGAAGGAAGGAAGGAAGGAAAAAGAGGGGAAGGAAGGGAGGCAGGGAGGGAGGAAGGGAGGGAGGGAGGAAAAGACCCATCTGTACATCTTGACTGCAACTTTTTGAAAGAGACTAAGTCAGAACCACCCTGCTATTCTGTTCTTGAATTATTTGAGTCAGGATCTTAGGTATCATGAAAGAACCTTGCCTGTTCTGACTGTGACTTTGACCTTCCTGTTTCAACTTCCCTGAGTGCTGGGATTACAGGCACATGCCACCAAGCCCAGTAATTTGGTAATGGGGGATCTAACCCAGGGCTTCATTCATCGAGGTAAACATTCTACCAACTAAGTTATATTCCAGATGCTTTTGAATTCTTAGCCCATTGACACAGAGAGAATATTCATTGTTTTACTTAAACAGAGTTGGGTATAATATTATACACCAATAACCAACATAGATTATACATTCCTTGAAAGTAAGGCTCATGCCTTAAACTTCTTTTGCCTCAAATTATTGCACCAACTTCCCCTCCCACAAAAAGATCAGAGCATACTAAAACAGTTGCGAAAAATGGCAGGTAAAACTGTCATTCCCTTTGACACTGAACATAAAACAATTGGACGAAAAAGACCTGAATCATTCTGACTGTATTTTCTTACTTGAGGCTGAAGATTTCCCAGGGTGCTGAGAACAGGTGAGTATTGTTATTTGTCATACTGGAATCTCCCTGAACTCTGTTCTCAGCACTTAACATGGGATAGCTTCTTAAGCCTGGGTACAGAGGGAAAGGTCTACCAAGTGGAAACTTTCTAATGTCTAATGGAAGCTCACCTGGGCAAAGGAAGTGGAGCTCTAATGGAGGGGAAGTAAAAGTCCTTTCCCAAGGATCAGGTGGACACTGTCAGCCAATGTCATTGTCACTGGGTGGAGACTGGCAAAGAAGAACAGCTCTAGGGGGAAAATGCTTATGAAAGAAAGCATTTAATTGGGGCTTACTTACAGTTTCAGAAGTTTAGTCTGACTTAATATACACTAACACAGTAGAGGCTACACAGATAAGCATCCAGAGTCTCTGTTTGCACCCGTGGATTTATTCTTTATTTACTTATTTTCTTTCTTTTTTTTTAAATAAGGAAGTCTTCATGGATTTGCATGTCATCCTCATGCAGGAGCCATGCTAATCTTCTCTGTATCATTCCAATTTTAGTATATGTGCTGCTGAAGTGAGCACTATTCTTTCTTTTATATGGCTGACTCAAGCTCTTGGCCTTTTCAACATACAGAAGATAGCAGATCTGACTTCTGATCTTCACTTCTCTTTAACGGATGCTCAGTGGTGGGAAAGAGATTGTGGGAGTAGGGTATTGGGAGGTCAGAACTTTTATTTCCCTACTCGTGTGCTATCCAGTTTCCTTAGCTTAGACACAGCTTTTGCTGTGGTTCTGATGATGCTAGACTAGACACCTTCAACACACTTCTCATTTGAAGAGCAGATGCTGGAGGGAGAAAGAGATACCATCTGCCCCAATGCCATCATTTGACAGGAAAATGAGGCCTAGAAAAAAGGAAACAACTTTCCTTCAGTTACACAACGAATATGGGATCGACTTCAGGCATTTTTCTGGAGTGGTGGTGCAGGCCAGCACTTGGGAAGTGGTGGCAGAAGGATCTAGAGTTCAATGGCATTTCCAACTTCCAGACTTTTGCCCCCCAACAGAGTAGAGGGGCTTTGCTACTGTTCTCAGGTAGAGCACTGCCCTTCCTGTTCTCTTGTTCTCCAGCTGCTTGCAACGAGAAACTGAATTATTTCTCCACAAGCAAGAGAAAGCTCCTGCTTCATTTAGTTTGTGGCAGGAAAGCTGCTGGACACAGTCTGTGGAGTCCCCTCTACCTTGGCAGGCTGATTTTACCCAACTGGTGGTAATGGCCTTGTGCCCACGGGCAAGCAATTTGAGACTTGCTGTCCATGAATGCCAGGTGGCTGACTGGAGACCTATACTGCACCTGCTGATCCTGGTGTGAAACTCTTGGATTTGTATATGTGTGAGTTTCAGGAGGGCAATTTTTACACAGACTTAAGGGATTTGGCACTGAAGGTATAGATTACCTCTTTTTGAATTGTTGGTCTGTGGAGGTCCTCTAACCCCCAACCAAACATTACAGGCTACTGCCACTGCTTTGTTACTGTCTCAGTCACTGTTCTATTGCTGTGAAGAGACACCAGGATTACAGTGACTCTTATAAAAGAAAGCATTTAATTGGGGGCTTACTTAACAGTTTCAGAAGTTTAGTTCATTATCAGCATGTCAGGAAGCATGGTGGCATGCAGGCCGATATGATGCTCAAGTAGGAGCTGAGGGTTCCATATCCATAGGCAGTAGGGAGAAAGCCACTGGGACTGACTTGGACTTTTGAAACCTCAAAGTCTACCCCCAGTGACGCACTTCCTCCAACCAGGCTAATCTTTTCAAATAGTGTTACTCCCTAAGCATTTAAATATATAAGCCTATGGGAGCCATTCTTCTTCAAACTACCATAGTTACCCTCCCTTGATGGTAAGGTCCTATTGCTGAAGATACCACATACATGACCTTTGGGTCATGGAGAATTCAAGCTGGTATTCACCTGGAACCTCTATCCCCACTGGCTAGCTTTCACAGTCCTAGAAGGAACTATGTATACTACTAGGGGAGAAAAATAATCAACACTGTTACCCAGCTGTGAACCCTGTAAATCATACTAATGACTGGCCTGGCAATTCATGTCCACTGGTGCATTAGGGGCACAAATGCTGTGGGAGTGACCAATCACTTTCTGACTGGATTTAAAACCTGATCCATAAGATGGAACTAGTACTATTAACTGGGCCAAAAAATAGATCCATGATTAGCTAAGTGATAGGCCCTACGGGAGAACCTAATACTATTACTGTGTTAAATAGACACAGTAATAACCCCCGTCTCAAGCTCTTCCCTTCACATCCACAGATTAGTTCATCTCCCATTCCTTACCAGAGAAGCTTCTTTTTTTTTTTTTTTTTTTTTTTTTTTTTTAACAGTAGATGGTAACTAATACAGAGACCACAACTGGTCAAAGTGCAAAGGGTAAAACTGTTGAGTGCTAAATGGGACAGTTAGGTTACACCTCCTCTCCCCAAAGCTCAGGGATCAATGTAAATGAGGGGGCAGAAAGATTTTAGGAGCAAGGGGTAGTATGGATGTCTGCTGTGAAACAATATTTGCTGGACATGACAGGGCCTTTCTACACATGAACTCACAGAAGCTGTGACTACTTGCACAATGACCGTACAAGATCAAGCCAATCAAAATCCCAGCATAGATGGAGGTAGGTAAGGAAGTTCTATTCCTGGGGAGCTACCAGCAATTGGTGGCTGTTAGGGGGAAGGAGAGTCAGCTCCCCTTAGGAATGTGAACCCTTAGAGCTATCCATGTTCTATTAGATTACCCTGTACTCACAAACACACAGGCATCACTAACTGGACTCAGTGGGTTAAAAAAATAGCCAGGTGTGGTGGTGCATACATTTAATCTCAGCACTTGGTGTCAGAGGCAGGCAAATCTCTGTGAGTTTGAGGTCAGTCTGCTCTACACAGAGAGTTCCAGACCAGCCAGGGCTACATAATGAGACTCTATCTAAAACAGAGACAAAACAAAAAACCAAAGAAACAAAAAGAGATTGAGAGAGCTCTTGAGTGGGCCCACATTTAAAATTGGTCAGGAGAAGAGATGGGGGGATAGGATAAGAATTAGAGGGGGCCAGGCGGTGGTGGCGCATGCCTTTAATCCCAGCACTCGGGAGGCAGAGCCAGGTGGATCTCTGTGAGTTCAAGGCCAGTCTGGTCTACAGAGTGAGATCCAGGACAGGCACCAAAACTACACTGAGAAACCTTG